ATCTAGTGCTTCCAGGTTTTCCACGGTGGTCTAGCTTCAATTAACTCTTGATCTTAACCATTGAAATTACTACAATCTCCACAAAACCCATCCGATATTAACTCTATAATTCCTCACCATGTCTTCGTTCACTACCGTAGTAGCTGGAGTAGAGAAAAAGTTTAAATCTAGAAAGAAGAACATGTTTCTATTTGTTCATTATTATAGGTGCGGTGGCTACTGATGATATCCACGTGGCTAAACCAATGGGTATGGAATGGAGCTCAAGCTTCCCACCTATTAACTGAATATATGGTATAAAACTTGGAATACTTGTCTAATATTAGCATTTATCTCGTCTCTTAAAAAATCATAATTCAACCTTTATATTAGCTTAGATTTAAAACAATAATAAAAATCTTTTCTTACCATCAATGAATTTCATTGATTAATGTGTATGATTGAATAAGGAAGGATATATATATATACTTAAAGTAAACTATAACTTTTCAGTCTCAAATATACTACAAAATCGATTAACAGAACATTATTATTATTATCTCCATGCATTCCAGTTATGAAAGATAACGGAACCATTTGGGAAAGCTAATCGAAATATCTGGATAATGTTTTTATTTACTCCAATGGTATATATAGTTTAGGTGAGACATATGTTTTCAATAAAGAATCAACTATCGAAAAATCCCAAAGATAATCTGTTAAGATTTGCTACTGTTCACTAAGTGAGAGGAACATTTAGCTGTTTATTTTTAGCAAGTACGCTTAGATGTAAACCTGGAATGAATTGGTGCAGGACCAATAAGTTTCATGGCATGTATATAAACGTAAATATCATATCTATGAAGGTAAGATGATCTCCAAATTCATTTTTAGTTTTATTACAATTTTTATGGTTAACGATTTCAACTGCTTTGATACAAGTACACATGAAAGTACACAAGCCAGAGACCGATCCATTCCAAAACATGCACATAAATATCAATGTTATTCCTTCAATAGTTTTATGTTCAAATATACACTACATTTACCTCTGAAATACCCAGATGAAATGAATCCAGACTTTTCAGTCTAAAACCAGTTGATTTAGATAAGATTCATTTGATTTTTCTAGATGTCAGATAGGAACTTTATGTCATAGTTAAATCTTTCAAGTTAATTATTATCAATCATGATATATGTATATAATCTAACATTGGCAAAGATAAGCTATAAACAACTTTCCATTTGAAAACTATGATTCATCAGATCAGTACAAGCATAAAGGATATTTATCACAGAATGACCTCAATTAAATTGTTATTCTTAATTAAAGATAACTATATAGCTACTTCTTCTCAATGAACTCTTTTAGAGTGAACATCTCCAACAATGTCTAGGATCGAACCGAGTACCTTTGAGTTTCTAATATTGAGCATCGTTTGCAAAATAGAAATAACCCATACAAAACTCCTTCATATATATACATATATATGATCACCGTTTATTGTAATGTTGTATGTAAGAATAAAAACACTAGAGAATCAATGCGAATTAAGTGTATACATGACAAATTAAATTGGATTGTTTCAATTATACTATTGGCCTACTTCTTTTTCCCCTTACATCATGTTTTACTTTTTTTTTCTTTTTTTTTAATGTCACCGAATTATTATTCAATTAGTTCGTAAGAAAAAAAAATCATTTTTCATTCACTAAAATTTCTTTTATTCATTACCACAATCATTATAAACTAATAGTTTCTAATAACATAATGTATACAATAATGGTTATAATGGAACACCCAACTACACCATAAGGCAAGCTCTCACATGGAATCTTCAAGGTCAAAGAAAAAGAGGAAGAACAAAGAACACATTACGTCGAGAAATGGAGACAGACATGAGAAAAATGAACAAAAATTGGATAGAACTGGAAAGGAAGTGCCAAGACAGAATGGATTGGAGAATGTTGGTTGGCGGCCTATGTTCTATTAGGAGTAACAGGCGATAAGAAGAAGAAGAAGAGGAAGAAGAAAAGGAAGAAGAAGAAGGCTATGATGGAAACTAAATAAACATGTTTTTTCGGTCAGAATGACCTTCATCATCTATTTTTTTTTCTTCTTTTGTTGCATTAATTACCAATAATCTTAGAAAATCTTGTAAATTTCAAATAATCCTCTCTTTTTGTGTGTATGTGTTTTTGTTTGTTTGTTTTAATTATATAAATCTTCAATTATAAAAGATGTATTTGAATTAAAACAAATTAGAATTATGTTATAATTTGTTAAACGTTCTCAATTATTTTACCTTACTACATCACAATTATGTACATCAACATATATAGATGGATGGATGGATGGATGAATGGATGGATGGATGGAGGGATGGATGAATGGAGGGATGGATACACAATGTTAAACTGATTTAATGTTAATAATAACTAGGAAAAGTTTATTGAAATATTGTAATTCATTAATTGAAAAAAACACAAACCAACAAAGAAATCAATATTGATTCCTGTTTTCATTTTGTTTTGTTTAAAATTAATGTTATTACGCAGATTGAAATCATGAGCCAATTGAAGCTAGACCATCATGGAAAACTTGGAAGCACTGGACGGCCGTTTCGTTCTAGTATGGGACTCCTCGAATCTCGCGGGGTGAGGGCTCGTGGATGCGCACTGCTGAGAAGTCCCATACTAGAACAAAACGGCCGTCCAGTGCTTCCAGGTTTTCCATGTTGGTCTAGCTTCAATTGGCTCATAATTTCAATCTGTGAAATTTCTAAAATCTCTACAAACCCCTTCTGGTAATATTATTACTTGATAATAACGATTACATATGTTAGGGTTGTATGATTGATTTACGATACTTGAGCGATGAAACTATAATTTGTTGGGTGAACCAATTAGATTCATGATAACAGGTCTTGAAATTCTTTATCCATTCGATTAAACAGCATCTTGGCATTTTAGCTGATGTCAGTTTGTAATGAGAACAATAAATCTAATCTTTATCTCTAACTATCAACTGTATATCAAAATCTTTATCCTTCACACAGGTTTAAAGCACTCATTTAGTTCTAGTGAGTAGGTGGATATTCTGAAGGTTACTTTGGTGTCGCACAAAGGTCCTCCATAAATTATAGTCTCACCACTTGAGCATTGAGGATGATATTGAGCTGTTCTAATGCAAACAGTTTCATTCAGTAAATTGATAGCGGTGGCTAACAAACAATACTTTAAAAGTGAGCTATTAATATAGAGAGAAGACGGAAGTGTAGGCTATTCAAGTGGAACAACATAAAATCGCACAACAAAATACATTGTTCATTGAAATGTTGAATCGATCTAAGTTAGACCACCAATAAAAACCTGGGACCACTGGAGAGTCGTTTCGTCCGGTACGTATTATAACCATAACATGGCCTTTAAGAATACAGAAAATTAGCTAAGAATGGTTTAAACAAATCAGAAAAGGACAAAGTCATGTGATAAATTGGATTGGGAACAAACGTTCAGGATTACTGTTACCAGTAAGACTTTAAAATTATTAACGAAAATTGAGTAATCTTGTGATTTCCTTTGAAAACGTTAGTGTGGTTTAGAAAAGTTTTTGATTCATGTAATTATTTATTAATAAATACTTAAATTATATCCTCGAAGTTTTCTGCATATACCAATATACAATTCTACCTAATATGAACCCAAATTTGACAGGTGATCAATTCTAACTGCAGTGATCAATCGATTGTGAATACATCTCAGTCTCACAGCAGGTCAATCGCGGCTGGGATAGCTTAGCAGTAACGTTTCTGACTGTGAAGCTAGGTGACATGGGATCAAATCCAAAAGGGAGCATCAGTTCCTTCAAGATTACAGGTAGACCCTGATGACGAGTACCGAATAGTACGAAATCTAGGTTCAGGGTTCCTGTTGACTACCTCCAAACGCCAACGCAAAATCACAACGGGATCGCCAATGCCTTCCGTTCTTAATCTTGTTCGATAACGTCTCAAACTGATGAGTTGCATCATCTCTAGGACCTTGATCAATCACTTGTAATCTACCGATAGATACTAGTTCTTTACACTTTTCTTTCATACCAGAGGACTGTATCATAAACTAAACACCTTTAAGTCATTTCCACTCAGTTCCAACATTAGTAAATAATGCATGATATGCAAGTCACCGGGATTATACTGATGTCACATTGATTTATTGAACAGACAAGTGTATATATATAACTGTTTAGATTGTCATTATGATAAATGAGTAACAGTACTGAAAACTCAATTTTTGAATTTACCACTTTTATCTCCGTCCATTCTGGCGGTTTATCGACTTTTAAAATAATAATTATTATTATTATTCACTTGATATTGTTTTATTTGAATCTTCCCATTGATGTTTTTGGACTGAAATTGATCAGTCTCTTATTGGCACATGTGCATACTGTGCGTATGCCTCGATATTGCCTTAATTTACAAGCATTATAAGCAAAGATGGATAGTGGCTAGCAGTGGAATCCAGGACGCGCGCCACTTCGTCCTATTTGGGAGTCGTCAGCTGGATGTACCTGCATCTCAGAGTTGATGTTCACTCTGGGACTCGAACTCAATACCGTTCGCTTCAAACGCCATCGCGTTATCCACAAGCAAGTGACTATCAGCACTCAGTAGCTAAGTGGATAACGTGATGGCGTTTGAAGCGAACGGTACTGAGTTCGAGTACCAGAGTGGACATCAACTCTGAGATGCAAGTACATCCAGCTGACGACTTCCAAACAGGATTCCACTGCTAGCCACTATCCATCTTTGCTTACAATAATAATAATTATTATTATCATTATTACCATTATTGATATTATTTTTATCACTACCTAGTCACATAAAAGGAATCAAATAATGAAAATTCCTTTTGATTGATTTCAATCTTAAACAAATAGAATTGAAAATTTTCTTTCCAACTTGTAAAATATTTTTTATTGCTTTTTAAATTGTAATTAAAATTGCTTCTTTAAAATGAGAGAAAGAGAAAGGAAGAAATTTCTTACACCACCCTCTGTACATAATGTTTGTTTCTATGTATGTACATACAACACACACACACACGTGTCTGTATGTACGTTTGTCACTGAGACGGATTAGAAGAGTGATATATAATAATTGATAATATAATCGGACTATGAGGATGGAGCAGTATAGTGGAACAAGGTTAGTTCAACAATAAATTATATATATATATATATATATATATATATATATATATATATATATATTGATTCAGTTAAATTATTTAAGTGGTCAGTTGTGTATGGAAAAAGGGTTGGGTATATGCAAATAGTTATATAGAGAAAATAATATGGAAAAGTTGAGTAGAAAATTTACAATCATCATTATTACTATTTTGTATCTAAAAATGTACAAATATTTTAACATTGGTGGTGTATACAGTGATAAAAAATAAGGGCGGGTCAAACAACATACAATCATATACATATATATAGAAGTATAAAAGTAAGAAGAAATCGGCAAGAACCTTGATTATTTTTTTTGTTCCGTTTTCCTACTCAGAGAAGGAAAAAAAACAATCCATCACTGTCATAAAAATTGTTATGACCAATATTTCTTTTATGGAGAAAAAATTGAATAAACAAAAAAAGAGAAAAGAAAGAACAATCAAGAGAATATCGTTTATTCTATAGTCATCCATTGTATATATACCATACAATGTATTAAGCAAGAAAATATGATTGATAGTTAGTAGATGTTCTATTGTGATTTGTTATAATTTGAAAAAGAAAAGAAAACAACTAACGCAAAGTAATTGAAATTCAATCAAGTGATTATGTGACATAGTTATTTAAGATTAAAAGTATTGTGTTTGAAATCTATGAACTGTGTAGAATTATCGATGTTCTACTGATGACGATGCTGCTGCTGCTGATGATGATGATGATGTTGATGATGATGATGATGATGATGATGATGATGATGATGATGATGATGATGATGATGTTGATGATGATGATGATGATGATGATGATGATGATGATGATGATGATGATGATGATGATGATGATGATGATGATGATGATGATGATGATGATGATGATGATGATGATGATGATGATGATGATGATGATGAAGTTACAGATGACGTATGAAATATCTCGATTATGCTTTACATTTTCTATTCACTCATAGTGTATTATATTAGGTCAGATCATCTCCAGATGAATGAAACTGTAAATATGTGTATGTGTGTGTGGATGATAATTTTTTTCTACAATATACAATATATTCGTTCAAATTTAGACGAAAGTTCTTATTTAATATACCGATTAAGTGATCTTTTTTATTAATAAAGAATAATGTTAGTTGGCAGTGTATGTGTCAATGATTTTGTGTAGAAATTCCTAAATCGATCTATTTTATCAATTAAATGGTAATATCTATGATACTCAATCTCAAAATAGAATTTGTTAGAGGAAGATTATTTTCACAGTTGAATTTACAAGTCGATCTAAGCTAGACCACCACTGAAGACATAGAAGTACTAGACGACCGTCTCGTCCCAGTATGGGACTCTTCAGAAGTGCGCATATACGATCCTACACGCAGAAACCGAACTCAGAATCTTTGGTTTTGTTTGTGAATGTTTAAACTCTAAACCAATGAGCCGGCATTCGACCGTGTTAATATTTACCTTCAATCGATCCATCATTTTGTACAACTCTCCGTTCATTGTTTGAAGTGGATAACTGTCGAGATAAGATGGTGGTTGGAGGTAGTCGACACGAAACCTGGACCTAGGTTTCGTACTACTTGGCACTCGTCAGAGAGATATACCTGTAATCTTGAGGGAATTGATGCTCCCTGATCCCGTGTCACCCAGCTTCACAGTCAGAGATGTTACCACTGAGTTATCTCAACCGCGACTGACCTTCTGTGAAACTGAGATGTATTCACAATTGATCGATCACTGGGTAGTGATAAATGCCATGTGTGTCTCACACCCGACATTGATTGGACTGTACTGGTCACAATTTTTCATTAGAACTCCAAGAAATCCATCTTAAAACCAGTCACTAGTGAGCACATGATTATTATCAATATGTGGATTTGTGGAGATTGTAGTATTTTGACTGTCGAAATCACGAGTCGATCTAAGCTGGACGAAACAACCGTCCAGTGCTTTCAGGTTTTTAATGGTTGTCTAGCTTAGACCGACTCATCAATTCAACAGTGAAAATATTACAATCTCTACAAATCCCCATATTGAAAGATTAATTATTGATTTTAAATTTGAGTTTTATTGTTTTGATTTATTGTTTTTATTATTGATATTATTCCTACTATTAATTTGATCGGAATATAAGTGAATAGATATGAATTTAAAAATGATTCCTCTGGGATGAATGATTTTACAAATGGCATCAAAATCCGACTGAAAGCATCCATGTGGCATTTCCGGATGTTGAGTGAAACAATGCTAGATAATTTGGGCAGTCGTCGAGGTCGAAGTAATAAACCACTCCGTTGTAAACTGCATTAACTTGGTTACAATGCTGGGACCCATTAAAATTTTGCGGGCTGTTCAACGTGTAAGCGTATGTATAAGAATTGTATTAGTCTCGAATCATTTAGTTTATGTATGTTGGTATATGCAAAGGGTATGAACGTGGGATAGTACGAGGAACGTAAGCTGAAAAAAGTCTACACTATGTTTAATAAAATCAACGGCCTAATCATCTACATCAAAGATATGCTAAAAATGTGTTATGAAATACTTAGGAGAAGTGACCTTTAAACCTCCTTGAAAGAGTCCTTATACTTATGTGTGTCATGAATTGCAAGGATGAAAATCTTTGAACCAGTGATATGCATGTAATGCGTAGGTGACAGTCACTTGTAGCAAATACGTTCAAAGGGAGCTATGACCATCTATCCTTCTATGTGAGCGAATATACTTATATGTATGCTATGGGACGCATGAGTGAAAACTTGAGTGTTACCGGTGTGAATGTTGAATTATAATTGTCCTTGGTGCGTCGCCCGCGCGCCAAGACCTGGGGAAACGATTTCTCCACGAAAGAAAGGCACCCGCCAAAGACAATGAAAGATTTTTGTGCAATATCACGGATTGCTTGTCATTAGACATGTACATCATTGGATACCGTTCCATCGGTCTAGAGGGTAATTGTTTGCACCAATGGAGGGTTGTGGATGCAGAAGTTCACTGGTGAGTTCCATAACAGGATGAAATGGCCGTCCAATTCCACCAGGTTTTCAATAGTTTCCTAGCTTAGACTGGTTCTTAATTTCAATAAAATAATTGAAAAATCGTATAAAGTGAATAGTATTATGCTCACTGCTGTCGTGACCATGTGAGACCCTCATCGACTTCCCTGAGATATGCATAGAAAACAGATCTATTAGGTCGAAAGATTGAGGAAGTGTTAGGCTTTATTTATTATAACGTCCGTAGACTTTCACACTGTTTTAAACATAATAGATTAAACCTTATTGGGCATGGAATGAAGAGGGATTTCTGCTACATGTAGAGTGTCAAGCTGCTCGACACCAAAAAAGACCTAGCTCAACAACAGTGCCGTAATATATTCAAACAAAAGTAAGTTTTAGAACGACCAATTATATTAAAATTGTCCTCTTAATGGCAATGTACCTCTACAAGAGCTTCCCAACTTTTTGGTTAATTCCTATATGGGTTATCTTATTAGCATCTGGTTCTTATTCTACTAATGATTACCATTATTTCTAAGTTATTTTTTACTCCTTTGTTATAAAAATAGATATCTTTAATACTTGTCAAGTTTTCATTAAAAATCGTTTGGTCAGATGATTAATTCGAATTTCCCATAGATTGTTCTGTGTCCAATGCATTTTTATTGATCAATGATGAATAATTATTCGTAAGTTGATGTTTTCTCGTTGTTGGTGCTCAATTGTTAAGTTGATTCATGTTTATTAATATACGACTACCTTGAGCTGATTCACCGACATTGTATCGTCCTAAATGAAGCATACCAGTCGGATATTTTTATATTTCAATAAGGATTTGAATCTCAAAGAGGACATTAACACTGTAATTCTGGTGTATTTAAATGAAGAATTTTAAGTAGAAAAAAAATGTGCATACTGGATTCCACTGCTAATTACAATCCGACCCGGGTCCAGGGTTTCCTGTTGACTACCTCCAACCACCATCTAAATCTCAATACATAGTGCCCGCAGTGTTGAGTCACCTAGACTGGTGGCCACATTGCAACATGATCGATAGCATTCGATCTGCACTAATAAGGACTAGACAAGCATGACATTGATCACCACCCAGTGATCAATCAATTGTGACTTCCAATCTTTAAAATCTAATCGATAAAGTTTGTTTAACATTAAACATTGGATGAGTATTATTTTTATGATCATTATTGGTTACTACTATTAAGTGATCAATCTCTGTCAATATTCTCATATAATTTCATAATTGAATCCATGAGTCAATTTAAGCTAGATCATTATTGAAAAACCTGGAAGTACCAGATGGTCATTTCGTCCTAGTATAAGACTCCTCAACAATGAATATCCATGATCTTACACAAGAGATTGGGACTCAGTGATATTCAGTTTAGTACGCGAGTGTTTAACCTCTAGATCATTGAGTTGTCACATCCAACCATATTAATGTTTAACTTCAATCAATACAATTTCACTTGCTATAAACATTCATTCCAAAGTTTCATTGAATGGAGTTGTTTTTTTTATTTCTTTCAAATCTCTACAAAACGGAAGTAAATAATCAGTGAATTTGATTTAGTTGAATTAACATTTCCACTTAAATTGTCTTTAATTTCTAATCGAATTTTAGTTTTCTTGTATGTATGTAAGTTGCGTGTATATTCGCATGGAATGATCTGAATGTGACTTGTAATTATTTGGAGTATTTATGAAGAGAGAGAGAGAGAGAGGGGAGAGGGAGGGAGGGTGAAAGGGAAGGTGGTTGCAAATTTATGATTTTCTAAATTTTATAACAAATAAATCGAATAATAATTTCAGACTCGACAGAGGAGACACGGATAGATCACAATAATAGAGTTGGATAAAAGTCACGCTATATCATGAATCGACTATAGTTAGAATTGTGTAATCAATTTTCGGTTTCTGATTCAATCTTGTGATGGTATCATACTTATTGCTAGATTTGGGAGTTGAGGAATTCAGTTTCTGATGTAGTTATGGTGAATGTGATCGCTATTAAAAAGTTTTTACTGGTTATTCAGATAATGTCAGAGAATGATGAAAATCTAAATAGTAACAGGATTCAAATGATTTACCTCCAAGTTATTGACCTTATACCCTTCTGATTAAATTCTAAGCTCATATCACAATTATTTGTCAGTGTGGGGTTGTGCAGACTGCTGATACCCACTAAAAAAACCATTAAAAAAGGCGATAGACGACTGTATTTTCCTAGTATTCTTAGTGGCAAGACGCATGCACTATCCCGCATGCGGGAGTCGGAATCAGGTACTTCGGTCTTGCGTAAGAACATATTCAACGGTGTAGAACTCTAACTTTAGAATTTACATTATCTAATTAGTGAGCAGTTATCTAAGCGTTACTTTTTTTTCTTGTCCTCGTATTACTGTCAACTTTATTCTATTGATCAAGTTACAATGCCATTACTACATCTACATATTGATGTATACTTTCTATTTAGAGTCAAATGGTTGAATACACTCATTACTATTACTATAATATTAAAAGAATGTATTTTGTTTGTGAGATTTGAGTCTACCTATTATTTCGCAGTTGTATTCAGTTACAATAAACACTTCTTGTGGCATAACTGCAAAACACAACAATAGGCAGGATGTGTATATGTTTATTACGAGAAATTACAAAGTATTTAAATAGTACATAAACATAGCCCTCAATCGTCCACTTACATCTTTCGGTGTTACCTACCATCTGACTTCTCTTCTCTCCTGGTCTTCAAGTGTTCTACCAACGCCATGCTTTTTATGCACTGAAAGTCTTCACAGATGTTGCAACCTTAACGCCATGTTCAGCCACAGACAACTTACAGACATCCCTGTGAGTAGCATCCACTACATGCCCAACTTCTTTAGCAGATGAATATATT